CAGCAGGAAGTAGCTAAGAGAATATGCCATCCCCTTTTCCTTATGAATCAGGGTGAAGTCTCTCTCAGGGAGGAGTGATAGGGAATGGCAAGGGACACATGGACAAAGGAGATTAATCAGAACTGGCTTTGACAAGCACTGTGGCAATTGGACAATTAAAACAGACATTAGGGGGGGAAGAAGAATGAACTGGGGATGAGGGTGGAGAAAACAGTGCAACAATGAATGAATGAATGAAAACCCAAAGTCTCTGTAAATCTTCATTAAAACTAATAAAATTTAATTTAAAAAAAAAGACTTGAGCTGTGATAAGTTCAGCAAGTTTTGTATTTTATTTCTACTAGAGGGAATTCTAGAGATCATCCCACTACAAATGATGAGAATGGATTGTGCGTTTGTGTTTATTTATATGTCTCTAACCTCTGAAGAATATTCAGTATTGGTCAGTGGTACTTCAGGGAGGACCAGGCCTGGGAGACTATTTTCTTCATTGTGGGAATTTCTACCATGTATCGTTATTATTGTTCAAATAGGAATGTAAAGCATTTTCTTAATTGTGTGGTCCTTTTCAGATCTGATATCTAGGCTTAAACTTTTCCCTTTACTGTAAGCCCTTCAGGCCACAAGAGGTGTTGCATTCAAATTACGGTCATAAAGCAAACACTTAAGGATGTAATATGAAACTGGGACTGAGCTCAGTGCTATAAAACAATAAAGATGACGTGCACAAAAATCTAAGCCCCGGTGGAAGGGAAAAGACAATAAGGAAAACAAAGATAAACAGGGAGGTCATTTGCCACCACTAGATGTTCTCTTCCTGCCGCCATTTAATTTTACTCTTTGTTGGTTTTATTTAATTCAATCAGGTGCTCTTGTGCTAAACCTATGTCTTAAAAAACAGGAAGGTACCTATCTTATAATCTCATAACTGTTATGTGCCATTGAGTAGCCTGTGGCTCACAGCAACCCTATGTACATTAGCTCTGAAACTTGCCCTATCCTGAGCCAGTCTCACCATCTTAGACAGACCTAAGCCCATTTCTCCAGTCACTGAGTCAAATCCATCCCATCCTGGGTCTTTCTTTCCTGCACTGTCCCTCCACCCTTCCAAGCATGATGTCCCTCTCCAAGGGCTGGTCCCTCCTGGCCTCGTGCCTGAAGGTTATGAGATGGAGCTTCAAAATCCTTGCCTCCAGGGAGCAACCTGGTTTCACCATCTCCAGGACAGAACTGTTTGTTCTCCTGGCAATCCATGGTATGTTCAACACTCTTCTTCAGCACCACAACTCAAAGGAATCTCTAGACAAGGTATTTAACTTTTTATTCCAGTTCTTTCTCTCACACAGTTCCCAAGAAGGTGTCCTATTAGTCTGGGTGCTGGTTGTGTTAGCTGCTATAGAGTTGGCTCTCATTCTTACATATGTCGTTTACTGTCAAGTCAGAACTAATGATAGCCGGGCCTCCAGCTGGTTTCGAGAGACAATAATTTGTATGGTAAGAAATTACCCATCTTTCTTCCATGGAGCACCTGGTAGATTTGAACCTCCTATCTTTAGCCTGGTACCAAAATTCCTGACCAACAAGCCATCAGAGTTCAATCTTACATATAATAGAATTAAATGCTGCCCAATCCTGTCCCATCTTCATGACCACTGACTGATAGGTTTGTGCCTATGCATCTCAGTGAGGGTTTCCCTTCCTTTTGCTGACACTTATGTTACCAAAAGTTTTCTATAATGGTATTTTCTAATAACTCCTTTTTTCTGATGATGTGTCCAAAGTAATCATGCTGTTTCTAAAGAGGATTCTGGTTGCATGTCTTCTAGGACTTGTTTGATTTTCTGGATGCTCACAATATTTACTCAATATTTTTTATCGAGATCACAATTGGAATGCATTGATCCTTGGGAGGTGGGCTTTTTACCCCTGTGCTGTTTGACATGCACCAAGGATAATGAGAAACCAACGGATAATGCAACTGAGGCAAGAAGGGCCACAAATAATGTGAAAATAAGCATTTCACTTCAAAGATGGGCCAAGCTTCCACTCCTGGCTGAGAATGGGAGACCATGAGTAATGAAAGAGAGGATCAAAATGCCACTCTCTGCAAAGAAAAGAGCCCTGGTCTTGCCCTCAGCATGTTGTCAGGGATTCACCTCTGTCAGAACCAATCAATGGTGGTGAGTTTGGTTTCTTTTTTTTTTGAGAAAAGCATTTTTTAAACAGTTTTTAAAATTATGATTTGAATGACAGTTTACAAAAAACCTGCTATTTCATTCACTCATTCATACTTTTATTAATTTGTTATTTCATAAACTATTTCACAAAGGAGCTTTTGTGGTGGGGTGGGGGGAAGGCTGGGAAAGACTTGCATCATCTTAAGGGATAGAGATTTAGATACATTTCACTGTTGGGATGATCTGAACTCATACGTCTCTCTTCCTCATCCTTGTGGCTCGTACTTGGCAGAGAATATTGGTGGTGAGGGTGTGAGGGGTAGCTGACGAGGGAAGGGTCTTCCTGGAGTGCATGGAACGAAGTGGAAGGGAAGTTGCTGTTAAAATCTGTGTCCACCTTCTCTTCATAAACATCAGCCCCTGGATTTGGCCATAGTGAGTAACAGCTAGTTTGGGCTGCGCTTGGTTGCACAGGAATCTGCTGGAAATGGAATTCTGAAGAGCTTGGGGAAGGAGCGGAGTTAGAAGACAAGCTGATCGAAGGAAGAAGAAGAGAACTAGGACGGTGTTGGTCATTAGGAGTATTTCTTCCCAAGGCTCCTCTTGTGCTCCTTGCATACAGATCATAGTAATCTAGGTAGAGTCTGGCAGTAGAATCCTGAAGCATGTCTGTGTTCTGGAAGAATGTGGTATTGGACAACAAGCATTTCTCAAATTGTTCAGTGTGGCCCAAGCTGGAAGGAGCGTCAGCCAGATCAGAGGTCCCCTCAAAACCATAATGCTTGGAAAGGGGTAAGCAATCATCCAGTGGCCTCTCCTGAGGAGGGTTGGGAATGAAGGGTCCACCATAACTACCAGGCAATTGGACATTTTCCTGGAAAAAGCAACTTACAGGTGAACTTGGCTGACTTTGTGTTCCACCTGGAAGACACTGGAAAGGACAGAGAAAGGAGCTTGTTAATAAGTTAAGTACATTAACACAAGTGCCACAAGCAGTCACAAGTTACGCAGTACAAGTAAGTGCCCCTTCAGATTTTCCTCATTCCTTACATACTTGAAGCTGGGACAAGAGAACAGTTTTATCACAACCACTAAGACTTGAAGGAAGCAAATGCTGGTAAAAGCTGATTTTCTCTTCACTCAGGAGACATTGATGCGATTTCGCCCTTAAATGAAAATCTGATATCCTATATATCTTTGTAGAAACAGAAGATCTAAGAAGCCATTTAAGAAAAATCAAATGACAGCATCAAAGATTTGTTTTATGTTCAGTGTAGCTCTCGTGTGGAGGGATGGTTCTCCCTCTTATCTTTTAAGAAGTCATTTCTCTCCCTCTTATGTTTTAAGAAGTCATTTCTCCCCTTCACTTTTTGTGCCAACTAGAGTCTGAGACTAGAGTTGGAGCGAGGTGTGTGTGTGTGTGTGTGTGTGTGTGTGTGTTGCTTTGTTCCTCACCCCATCCCTGCCAGGAAACTTCCTCTATTCCTGGGAATTTGGTTGAATCATAAATAAGGCCTGTAGAACAATAACTGATAAATTAATTTTTAAATTTTTCTTTCTTTCTTCCTTCCCTCCCTTCTCTCTTTTCCACTGTGGTACAAACATATAACAAAGCCTTTGCCAAGTCAACATTTTTTTTCACACATCCCATTCAGCAACATCGATTATATTCATCATGCTGAGTAGCTACCACAAAGCTTTAGAGTTATTTATAAGTGGAGGAAGTATACCATCCTCTCAGTGAATCATATGCTTTCTTTGTTTTAAAGAAAATGATGCAAAAAAAAAAAAAAAAAACCACCCCAAAAAGAAACACTGGAGACTAGAACGGACTTCCTGATGTGTGTAAAAGAACCTAGTTAAGAATTAAGGGGTGCATCAGTTTATGCAAAAGCATCAGAATACTAAGAGGATGGGGTGGGATGGAGAGAAAGGGTGGTGAGCAGGTGGAATGACAGAAAACGCCCTTTGAATGTCCCATGACCAAGAACAGGAATGAATTCGTTAATGGCTCACAGTGCCCTGTAACAAGACTCAATTTACAAGGGTTTTTTTGTTTTGTTTTGTTTTTTTGGTTTTTTGTTATGATATTTAGAAGCCTCTTATGCTTAGAGCCACTTGGATGGGATCAACTCTATCTCTGTTCTCCAGAAAAGTATAGAGTACTAATCAACAGTATAAAAAGGACAGGAATTATTATCACACTTAAACAAATACACAGAGCCAAGATGGCCTGGTGGGCAAGGGGTTATGCTGCCAAACCAAATGCAAGAAGTTCGAAATCACAAGCAGCTCCTTGAGAGAAAGATAGGCAATCTCCTCTCAGGTGATTCGCAGCCTCTGAACACCTACTGGGGGGTCAGTTATGAGTGGATTGTGACTCAGTGGCAAGAAATCAAGTGAGGAAAACATCCATGGTTGTAAAGCAAAGCACCCCACATCCAATTTGTCTGTAGCATGTAGTCCTCAATGAGCATCATTTCTAGATCCTACTTGGCTCTCTCCATCTTGTTAGATGTAGAGATTGCTATGGAAACTAACTAGTTTAGAAGAACAAGAGACTTTACGGGTACCAACATTTTGGGGGGACCAATCATGAGATTAATAATTCATGCAGACCAATTCAGTTTAGTTTCCGTTTCAGCTGAACCAAAATATGGAGCGCCAGATAAAGGGGAAGTAACAAAGAAAGTTGTTTTAAAAATTCTAGTAAGGAAGATAGTTCTCAACGATATAAAATTTATGGTTGGGGGCATGCTACAAAGATGGTAGAAATAAAGGATAAAACATTTTGATAGGATGCTTGTTGGTAGACCAGCCTGATGGTCCAGAAAGAATTTTTTAAAAATTTTCATTTTGGTAAGAGCCACAGAATATGACACTCTGGAAGAAGATGTGCATTGCAAAGTGCAGGAGGGGGAAGGAAAGAAATGTGCAACAGGGAATGAATTGAAAAAAAACCAAAAACAACCATTCACCATCACTCAAAATAAAGAGACCAAGGAAATCCTTGCTCCTGCTGCAGGGGCCCTGTTGCTGTGGAGTTTGAACTGACCTGGTGAGAGGTTTCTTTCTCTAGGCCCCCCTTCTGGTTCTGAGAGGAAGCAAGTGATGCCATGTACAGTTTCTTCTTCATTCTTCTTGCTTCTGTTTCGGCTTTGGTTTCTGGCCTTGGGTGATCATGTTCTCCCTTTGACTTAAATAAGAAACAGGAAAATGAAGATTAGATTATACCAAGGCATGTATTTTTTTTTTTTTCAATGTCCTGCCACATACTGGGTGGTATGGTATAAAACTATTTTAACAGGATTGAGTAATCTTTCAACACAGCTTCCAAGGCCATCCTGCCCTCTCCTGCCTCCGTCCCTTTGCTATTATGATGCCCTATCTTCTATGATGCCTTTCACTGACCTCGGGGAGACCACGGCCATCAAGAGGACAGATAACGTTGATTAAATACTGGAGACACAATGTTCGGGACACTGTAATAAGCACACAATGTGCCTCATCTCATTCAATGTGCAGCCCAATCCTATGATGAACCTCCAGTTTCCAGTATAGGAAACTGAGGGAGTGATTATATCAGCTTGGTAACATCCCTCTTAAATACATCTAGAGCTGATACAGCTGAGAGCTGCTTGCAAAATAGTAAAGTGTTTTAATGGGTTTTATCTAATGGGACTGTGGCTTAAGTGTTTGTTCGCTCACCACAAGGTTAGTCTGAAAGCCACTCTAGGGAGGGTGACAATCTGCTTCCATTAAGATCACTGCCCTGGGAGCCCCATCTACTCTGTCCCGTATCTTCTGGCTTCATAGCTTTGATGTCAGAACCCTGTCAGAAGTCACTTGACTGCTGAGAGCTGGTTGTTGAAAATGGCAGGTAACTTAGAATTTGAATAGGTACATTAATGCAAATTGACGAACTCTAGGAATTGAATCCGAACTTTTAAAGAAGGTCAGTTTACCAATGCTCACTGATTCTAAATTCTTTTTCTCCAGCGCAGAAGGGGAAGACCCTCTATCAGATGGATTGATTGAGTGACTGGGGTAATCCGGATGGGTGTGTCAGAGGCAGTGAGATTGGCACAGGATACAGCACGGTTTAGGGCTGTTGTACACAGGGTCGCTATGAGTCGCAAGCGACTCAATGGCACATAACAACAACAACAACACAATCCTTTCTAAAGAAACTCCAAACCTCAGGACAGTCTAATCAGCACTGACTCACAGCTGACATTCTGAGGCTGTAAATTGCGTGGGAAAAGGTTGCCATTGTTACCCCCTTGAGGCATTTGGAGGAGTTACACTGCAGAGAGCAAAGAGTTTAGCAGCACAACTTCCTCTGGACGAGGCCGCCAGACCTCCCTTTTCCCCATTAGGACTTCTCCCTTCGCCACTCTCACTGTTTCTGCCGTTTTTCAAAAATTTACTTATAGAAGCAAATTTGTTTACATTGTATTTCGTTCATGTATATTATGGGATTCCCCCTCCTTTCAATCATCTTACTCCATTGTTGTTGTTGTTGTTGTTGTATACTGTCGAGTCAGAACCGACCCATAGTTGACCCTTCCGTGGGTTTTCAGAGGAAGTTAATGGCAATGGGGATTGCCCATCCTCCTGCGGAGCAGCTGGTGGCTTCAAACAGCGTGCCTTAGGGATTGCAGTGCAGCTTCTTGCCACTAGGCCACCAAAGCTCCCAATAAGGAGTTGTTTTGTTGTGGTTTTTTGTTTTCCTTGTCGTACTGTTGAGTCGGATCTGACTGGTACAGAGGAGATTGTCCCTCCTTCTTCAGCAGTGAACTGCGCTATTATTAGTTCTTAATAGCCATATTTTCTAGAAAACTGAGATTTTAGGAATTAAAATAATTTGTACAAGGTTACAGAATGAAACTCATAATTATTGAAGCACCAAGATTAACAACGCCTCCTCTGCTCCCAAGGGCGCTCTGGTGGCCTAGTGGTAAGAAGCTTCACTGTAATCCCAAAGGAATGCACTTCGAATCCACCAGCTGCTCCACAGGAGAAGAAGGGAAATTTCCTCCCGTGTGATTAACTATCTCTGAACAAACTCTCTAGAGGGTCAGCTATGGCTTGGTTCCGACTCAACAGCACACAAAAGCAACCACGCAAAAACTCTCCTATCCTGGGGCCCTCCAACTGCATGCCTTTGAAGGTGCATCATATATTGGCCTCCTTGATGGAGCGTGAGCCCTCAAAAGGCCTGGTGAAGCCTCTGGGGCCCATCTCTGGTGTAGTTCCTGGTACTTAGCAAACATGTTGTTTAAAGAAAAAAACCCAAGTCACAAGCTCTTAAATGAAATACAACCTGGAAGAAGATGAAGGATCCATCGTGCCTCCAGAAGTTGGTGACAGGGTAGCCCCCGTGGCCTCGGCAAGGAATCAGCTGCAAAGGCCCATTGCAGTTGGGACAGGGTTTTTCTACAAAAGAGCAGATGGAGGTGACCAACCCGCTGAGCCCTGTAATGCTACTAGTGAGTCTGGGCCGCCCTTCTGAGCTGGCCCTGACTTCAGGACAGCAGAGAATAGACCTGTGCTCAACTCGGTGGGCTGGCATCCTCTGGGCCTCACCTCCTGGCTCTCAGAGGCCTGGCCACAACTACATCTGGGCCACTTTCCCAAAGGACAGAGTAAGCAAATGCTCACCCAGAAGAATTACGTGATAGGCCAGGAAGGAGCACTTTGGAGCAGAAAGCTGCTCCCTCCCTACTAACAGACTTGAAATTCTTTGTAGAATAGAAAACAATTCTTGCACTTCACAGCTACAACCAGCAGAGGAACAGGACCACACAGGAGAGAAAAAAATAGCTACTTAAGTTTATACTAAAGCATAAGTGATGGATCCCTGATCCTGGTATAAAAGTAAGTTTCAAAGATCAGTGATCAATAACATGAAATAACTTGAGGTCTTAAATGGTCAAGACACAGAAAACACTGAGTGTGTCTATTTCACAACTGAGTGAATATGGTAATAAATAAATACAGAAGACACACATTCCAGCGTATGATAATGGCATGAAGCAGAATTCGGTTTCACTTCAAAGTTTATCCCACTTTTCTTGCTCCTTATCAAAGCTGTCGCCAAAATTATTTAGGAACCCGTTGCCCAGGATGACAGGGAACAAATCTAGAAAAAACCCCGACTTTCTTTTAACATTTGCATGGATGACCTGATGAGCTCATACTGCTTCTCTAACGAATGTATCTTCCTTTTAACAGAGGCCTTGAGTCAAAGACCTTGTTAGTCTAAAAGAGTGGTTTTAATGGTGGCAGCTCTGGGCACTGTAGTTCAGGGGGACAGATGCATGGAGACCTGGCGGGTGCCTACCTATCTAGGATCAACCTCCATCCATTATCTCATACCCCATCCTCCCACAGGATGTGGATTAAGCCGGCCCCACTCACTTAGCTGGCTCTGCCGGAGTTTGTCACAGATTGCGGGGCGCAGGTAGATGTTGTGACCTTCCATGGTGGTGCAGTTTCGGGTGCACACCACCACACCCAGGCAGGACTTTTTGAGGATGCGGGGGTTGTGGTTGTTGGTGTTGCGCATGGCCCAGCTGCTCAGGTGCTTCTGCGCGTTCCTGTTCTCTGCGCTGTAGACGTGCTTTGCGTAGGCATCTGGCCACTCCTGGAATGAGTCAATTTTCCCCACAAACTGATAGAAACACACACAAAAATATTATTATTATTATTAAGTACATTCATCAATCACCAGTAAGTCAATAAACATGGTTAGTTTGGCCCTCGAGGGACCTCTGAGAAAGATCTGCTGTTCTTACTTTACTTGGCCTCAGGATGAACTCTGACTCATAACTCGTTGAGACTCTATGTCGAGCAGACCGAAATGCTGCCTGGTCCTGCAGCATTTCTATGGTCAGTGACAGATCAAAACTTTGTGATGCACAGGGTTTTCATGGACTGATTTTTCATAAGTAGACTTCCAGGTCCTTCTTCCTAGTCTCCCATACTCTGGAAGCTCTGCTGAAACCTGCATGCACATGGCTCCACTGTTAGATGGGTGATAGCTTTTCTTGAGATGCACTGACCAAGAACAGAACCCAGATTCCCAGGAGAGGATAAAATAGATGAGTGGGACCTTCTAAGAATCAAATCACTATGCACATCCAGAAACTTCTCCAACAGGGTAAAAAGGAAAACCACAGACTCAGAAAAAAAATTTGGTAATGACATGTCAGACAAGGGACTTATATCTAGGATTTATAAAATACCCGAGTACCACCACAAGATAAAGGTAAATAACTCAATTGAAAAATGTGCACAGGATATGAAAAGACACTTTACCAAAGAAGAGAGATGCAAATCAAAACAACTATGAGATATCATCTCACCCCAGTAAGAATTGCAAAATTTAACAGAACAGCAAACATCAAATGCTGGCAAGGTTGTGGAGAAACTGGAACTTTTATTCCCCGTTGGTGTGAGTGTAAAATGGTGCAACCACTGTGGAAGGTTGTATGGTGCTTTCTCAAAAAGTTGGAAATATGCATATCCATGTTTATTGCAGTTTTGTTCACAATAGCAAAGAGTTGGAAACAACCTAAGTGCCAATCAACAAACGAATGGATAGAGAAGCTGTGGTATATTCACACGATGGAATACTACACTGCATTGAAAAACAAGGAACTCATGCAATATTATACAAAATGGGTGACCCTGGAGGATATTATGCTGAGTGAAATATCTCAGTCACAAAAGGACAAATATTGCATAGGGCCACTGTTGTAAAACAGGACTGACATTGGGGTTTGGGGGAGACAGAGAAGGAGGGGAGGAATGATGTATACTGCATTGAAACAGATGAGGAAGAGAACTGTTTAAAAGGGATATATGATTGGGTATTATTGTCATGACAGGGAGTCCAGAATAAAGGCTTCATAGTGGAGTGGACTATGGGGAGGGATTGTATAAGAATGAAAGAGTTTTTTCTTTTACTTTTCAAGGAGAAGAGTGAATTGGGGTGGAGGAGGGGACAGGCAGGGAGAAAAGTGTAACAATAAATGAATGGAATCCCTAGTCCCTGTAAACTTTCATTAAAACTAAGGAAAAAGAAAAACAATGAGAGATAGGTAACACTGGCACACTGACATTGTTGGCAAAATCACCAAAGCTGGAAGGATTTAAATGTACAGACACACTGTCAGACAGGAAAGTAGATAGATATTCATTGTAGAGTTAAATGAAATGTGCAACCAGGACTTCCCTTAGAAGAAAGGATGGTTAAGCTCCTAACAAACTTGGACTTGAATCAGGAAGCATCAGTCCTTAGAAAAAGTACATCATGTTGGTAAAGGTAGAGAGAGGGTCAAGGGAAGAAAGGATGGCCCTTAAGGAGATGGATTGGCATACTGACTACAACTGTGGACTTGAACATGGTGGGAATCTTGAAAAGGCTACAGGATATGGCAAGATTCTGAGCCATTATTATAGGATTGCTGTGTAATCTACTAAATTACACCTAACAACAATACTTAGATTCCTCTATCATACAAGATGGGGTAGAACTCATTGGAAATCTGAAGTTGTGAACTAGTGGTTAAAGAGTTACCCTGCCAAAATAAAGGCATGTAGTTGGAATCCACTAACTGCTCTGTGAAAAATTGTTAAGCAGTCTCCTTTTGTGTGTTTTATTACCTCTGAAAACTTGCTGGAGGGTCAGGTGTGGTTCGGTTCTGACTTCATAGCCATGGAAATAACAAAAGTCCATACATAGCTAAGTCATGATATTTTCCATTATTTTTTTATGTATTTGAAATTTAGACAATAAATAGGAATAGCTAAGATGGGGTGGGGCACAAGCAATAGGGAGATTGGAATGCTCCAGTAAAGGGGGTCTGAAAGCCACTTCTCCCACAGCATTTCCTTTTTTTACCTACTCACTGTACTCATATGTCTCAAACATGGCAGAGAAATAAGGAAGGGCTTGCATTCACTTAAAACTGTCCTTACTCAGGGCTGGCACTATTTGTTGCAAACACATGGCAAAACTCTTCTTTGAAAGGTGAGGGGCACCTCATCTACCATTGCGGAACATTCATAAAAGATTCTAGAAAAGAATTCTGATCAAAATTGGGAAGGAGCTCAGAGCAAAATTCCAACTCACAAGGCATTCAGGCCTTTCCAAAACCCAAAAACTATTGCCCCTGAGAGAGTCTTTAATGCTAAAACCATAAACTGAAAAATACCTTCAAGAAACCTTTGTTAAACCAAATAAATAACAGACTGGCTTAGTCAGTAAAAGAAGTTCATTTTGAGCCCTGAGTAAGGATGACAGGAAAAGAATTGATGCCTTTGAGCTATGGTGTTGGAGAAGAGCACTGAATATCCCATGGACGGCCAAGAGAATGAAGCTGGAGAGGATGCAGCTGAAGTGCTCTTTGGAGGCAAGAATAATGAGGTACTTTGGACATATTGCTGGGAGATGCTATTCCTTGAAGAAGAATTGATGTTAGGAATTGTGGAGGCTTGGCAAAGGAAAGGAAGACCCTCAACCAGGTAGATTGTCACAGTGACTGTTGCAATGGGTTTTTGTGTGTCTGGAAGTGTAAAGTTGGCACAGGACAGAACAAGGTTCAGATCTTTTGTTATCAACTCAAAAACTTATAACGAAGCATTCAGGGAAGAGTTTATGTCAAAAGACAAGGATCAAGTCAGAAAAAAGATAGCCAGGGTGACTGTACAATGCAAACAATGGAATTAGTGTCACTGTAGTGGACATACAGAAACTCTGGATTTGGCTTTTATTTTGTTGTGTACATTATAAAAAAAACCAAAGGAACAGGACACTCAGTCTGTATAGCAGAACTATCTGGCTTGGTGTGCCTCTGTTTTTACATCTGGAGAATAGGAATTGTGTGTTAACTAAGAGTTGCTCAGAGGATTAAATATAATCATATATTTTTCTTTAAAAAGCAGCTAACAAACCCTTAGCACTTGGACTACACCTAGCTTTAATCAGTGATTCATATTCCTTAATGGGTACACAAGACTCTGCCTTGTTCTTAAGGGGAGAATTATTGATATGTCTCAGTGAGTAAACTCAGGCCATGCCCTCTCCATGAGGTCCACAGACATGATGCAATGTGGGAACTTTGTTCATCTAGAAGATTCTAGAAAGTTAGAGTATAATCCCTTCTTCTTTGTCTCCTCAATAATAAAACACAGCACAAAACATGAGGAAGGAAAAGCAGAAGACTTTGGTGGGGGAACAAAAAAAGCAAATACAAAATTCAGGATGGTAGCTAGCATTAGGGAGCTGATGTTTATTGAGACAGGTCTTGAGTTTTAGAACTGTGTATTACAAAACTCTGGGTAAATGAATTCCCCTGAAGCCTCATTTTCTTCGGTAAAATGGAACCTTGACAATTTCTGCCTCACAAGAGTACAGTGAAGTGTAGACTCACAGTAAACTCATGAATCCTGTGCAATCATAGGTTTTTTAATTTCTATGGAGATGGAAGTGTATTTTGAGACTGAGGTGTATCTGAGGAAACAGAAATGAGAAGTTTTACAAGAGTTTTAAGAGTCCCCTGGATTGTACATGCTTAGTTGCTAACAAAGTTGGGGCTTCAACTCCACTGAGAGACACCTTGAAAGAAATGTTTGGTGATCTTCTGAGAAACCAGTCATTGAAAATGTTATGAAGCACAGTTCTGCTCTGCCAATGCACAGAATTACTGAGAGGTGACATTGGTATCGGCATTGAGAGTTGATTGCAACTGGTTTGGTTTGGGGTTTTAGTCAGCAGAGAAAACCACAAACAAAACAAAGTAAAACAGATATTTTTAAAGTTTTCAAGGTGAGTGGTCCCTTTGGGCTGGCCAGTACCCCAAATCCTATAAACTAAGAAGAGAAAGCATTTGTGACAGCTTTTCAGATGTTTTTATTAAAACAATGACTCATTGCCTGTGGAGGAAGAAATGACACTTTTCTTAAACAATCCTGCCACCTATCACACATTATTATTCAGTGCCTGCAATAAACTAATGGAGTCAGATGTTGACATTGTCAGAATAGACTGAGAAAATTATTGGGTGCAAACATGTTCACATCAAGCTATTCTCTTGGTTTTTTATTTATATCTAGTTTCTTGACCTGGACATTTAGTTGGTATTTGGCATCTTTTTAAGATGAATACGAATGAATCCTCAGAGTGCACTAATGCAAAAGAAGTAAATATCTAGGTGAGTTCTGAGAGCCTTTTTCAATTTAAAGTCATCACAGAGGTAAAGTTTAAAGAGAGAATAATAACTCCTTAACCAAGATTACCCAAGTCCCACAAAATATTTCCCTCTTTTTACATAGATGCCTTGTTTATTTTAATTTCTAACTCTTCATAAGTAACTCTTTGTTTTTCCTCTTGGTTAAGAAGCTTATAATTTAAAGGGAATATTCCTAAGGTTTCCAACATGTAATATTAACCAATTTATAGTTATCATCTTGTGAGAAACACATGACTGAAATATTTAGTATTAGGATATTTAATATTAATACTTGTTGTTTGTTATTGTTATGTGCCGTCGAGTCGTTTCCGACTCATAGCAATCCTATGCACAACAGCCCTAAACCCTGCTCTATCCTGTGCCAACCGCACCGCCTCTGACACACCCATCCCGATTACGCCAGTCACCGAATCAATCCATCTCATAGAGGGTCTTCCCCTCCTGCGTTGTCCCTCAACCCTCCCAAGCATGATGTCCCTCTCCAAGGATCCGTCCCTCCTGGCAACATGTCCAAAGTATGTCAGACGAAGCCCAGAATCCTTGCCTCCAAGGAGTAGCTTGGTTTAATCCTCTCCAAGATGAATCTGTTTGTTTTCCTGGCAGTCCATGGTACATTCAGTACTCTT